TAGCTACGGTTATCATGCAATTCTATGAAATAGCACGATAAAAAAATGTTGCAAATTTTCCACGGATTTGGAAAATGTTTTTTCAGCTAAGCCACTGCATGGACCAGATAGTTTGTTTATTCAACTTCAGTTTCCTTTTTTTTATATTTCGATACGACCATTTTTCATCGAAATATCGAACTTTTAATGGAAAAGGACCATTTTGTCTTCAATCAACGATATCTCGGCGACAAATGGTCGTACAGAGAATTGAAGGGTAGTTTCGAAAACTGGAATAAATTACCTGTAACATGCTGCAGCAACTTTTGGAAAAACATTTTTTTTTTTTCATCTTTTACATGAATTTAAAAAAACAGGAAAAATTTTAGAAAATTGACGGCTAAATTAGAAATATTCACGAACGAAATGTTAAGCATGACATTTACAGTTCGATATACCCAGAAGAACATTGTGAAGTTTCATTTCGATCTAGCGAACCTTTTCTTTGTTTCCAAGCACTCAAACTTTTAAAAAAGTTAAAAGGTCACGTTTTTTTAACTGAAACACCTCACAATTATGGTTAAAATGGAAAAAAAAAAATTTGAGATTTCCTCACATTTTTGCCGCAAATAACGTTTAAATTGATGAAAAAAAAAATATTTTTTTTTTAGAGAAGAAAAAGGGTGCTTTTGAAAAAAAATTGTTTTTTAAGTGATTACAGACTGCACAAAAATTAATTAGAAATTTGTCTCAAAAAACGGTATGAATCGGTGTCGAAATCTGGTTTGAGTCAACCTTAATTTTAATTTAATTAAAAGTTGATAAACAGAAGCATAGGACGAAAAAGCTGAATCGTGCTGGAAACAATTGGATTTTGTTTTCTTCAATGTCCGGAAGGTTTAAAAAACAAAAAAAAACTTGGAATTTTGTTTTTTTCATTAACTTAAACGTTATTAGGGGTAAAAATGTGACAAAACCTCAAAAATATTTTTTTTTCTCAATTTTTTAATCATGATTATGAAGTGTTTAAGCTCAAAAAACACGTTGCTGTTAAACAAAATGGAGCACTATATGACGGCTGAGCGAGTGAAAATTCATTACAAGTGTGGATAGTGTGTAGCTGAGACTGTGCGCAAATACGTGGAATTTTCGGTAGAAGGAAGGCTCCGAATGAAACAACTATGATTGAATTTATTAAAAGATCTGCATCTACATCCATTCAAGATTCAGATAACCCAGGAATTGAAACCAATACAAGCAAGATAAAATCGTATTAATTTTATTTTTCCGCTGTAAATAGTGTTATATTTTTAGTAAATCCAAAGTACCAATTGTAAAGCAATTATTTAGCTAGCAGCACGACCCTGGCAACTGGACGTACCCATTTTTACATATCTGTTATTGCCTGTCATTGTATTCACAATTGAAAAACTAAATATAGGACAGGAAATATTACGAATATTTATAGCAAATAAAAAAATAATCCACGTTGTGCTTTTTTTGGGACAAACCGAATTATTCTAGCGACCTTGGTGATTTCCCTGATTGAACTACATCACAAAATCGTATCGTTTCCACTTCGTTCGAACTGAAATGCATTTTATAATAATGGAAACGAATCCGTCTCAGTATTTTTTTTCTTGTGAAACTGGACACGATGCAGAGAACTTGGGCTGAGCAGTTACTTTTCAAATCACCGTGACTGATTCGACCACAATTATTTTTAACACGCCAATAAAATCGCAATTACTTTTGTATTAAGACTCGAATAAGAATTTACTTAAAAAAATTGTGGCTATTTTAAACAGTTTGACGCCAGGAAGGAGGGTGTGTCTTAAGTCTAAAATATTCCCGCAAAATGCTTTCTTCAAAGGTGCTCACTTCGCAAATAACAAGACCTCTGAGCATGTGTCTTGCTATCAGGAATTTTAATGAACCCACCAAAATTGTTTAGACTATTCCGTTCGTTTATTAAAAAATTGATGACGTTGCAGTGTTCAAATTCAATAAAACACTAAATAATGAACGAATTCGAATCGAATTCTCAGTCGATCGGTTCGATCCCGACCCAGTGGCTTTTTTTTCTGGTTAGTATAATTAATCTTGTCGAGGTAACGAGATTCTGTAAACGATATAACCGAATCATGTGATGATACAATGTAAAACATTTTTATGATTACAGTGTGTGTACAAAATTAATTCAACAAGCAGATTTATAGTTTTCTGGGCTTCCGTGCGTTTTTAGGCGCCCGATGTGCGTCAGTGGTAACATTTAAAGTTATTGCTCGTATAAATAATCTAAAACTGCTACAAGTTAACGCAGTGATGGATGACAGAAGTGTTCAGAAATTGCGGAAGTTTGCAGTGGCTATATTTATTTGCTTTGTATTTTTTTTTATAGCTTTTATAATTGTGTAAATACCGTTAAAGTGTCTTACTTAATTCATGGATTTAAAGAGCTAAAGCTTTAGGGAATAAAGTGTCAGTTTTATTCCCCCAGGGATTAATTTTAAGCCCACGGATGAATAAACTTAGCCCTGGGGATTAGAAAATGCACTTTGGTACATAATATGTAACTAATTTTGTGATTGATTTTGATTATTTCAGGTAACGTAATATAAAAGACAGTGTATATAGGGTGTAAGAAGTTTGACTGCCATTACTTCAGCATGAGATAGAGTAATCATAAATGAGCAAAAAAGTTGTATTTTACAGAGGCGTAAAATTAACAGTTTTCAAAATACAGCGAGTACTGATATTGGGGAGTTTCATCACAACGTGACAACAGCGCTTAACCTGCTTATACACAGCACGTGTGCACCACGGCAGACTTGTCCTATGGAAAAAATGTAAACAACTATTATTGTGAAACATTTAATAAATTTCAAGACAATTGTTTTCCAGTTTTTAAATAAATAAAATAAAATGTACCCATTTTGTAATTCGAAGATAGTGTTGTGCTTAAATTTTAGCTCGAATTTTAGTAATTATGAATCTCTTACAACAGGAACTTAACTTTTAATCAAATTACGTATTTGAAAAATATAATATATATAATTTTTTATCAGAAATGGTTCAGTTTAGGACCCATGCCATATGAGGTTTTTTTGTTTATTTTAATGTATTCTATCGTCTGTTAAAATTAAGGCAGTCAAACTTCTAACACCCTGTAGTATGTTTCAGTCCTCCTGGTTACATGAAGC